CAGAAATGGATGCTTAGTCAATAAGTTCATCATCTTTATGAAAAAATCTTCATAGAAAATTGCTTTAGCTCTCAGCAGCCCTTTCCTGAGCTCTGAGGAAGCTTGCCTTCTTTTGAGCAACCCAATCACTCTTCTGGGGGTCAGAGACATTTTGGGTCGGTTCCACCTCTTCTTCTTCACTTCTTTCTTGGGCTTCTTCTCATAGACTGGATTCTCTCGGACAGCAGCATGAGCTTTCTTATACATCTCCTGCACGTCTGGAGTCACGTTGTTCTTGAGGTACTGAGAGAACTGTTTCTTATAAGCATCTTCATCTTCCTCCATCAGGGAGCACATGTAGTCTGTCACATTCTGACCCATGACGTGCTTACGGTGTACCTCTGCATTGAACTCTTTGCTTTCAGAATCATAACCAGAGAATAGTTTGGTACTATGAGAAATAGACAAGCCTCCATCCACAGCTCCCTTCAGGGCCCCAAGAACTTTATTGGCAGTTGTAGTTCGGGCAAGACCTGCATCCAAACAGCTAGTGAAGGCACCAGGCTGACCGTCAATGCTTTCCACATTGTATTCATCTCCAGTCACCTCCACTTGCCCTACACAGATCTTGTTCATGTCAAACCTACTGAGAAGCCTGCAGGTCAGCAGCAGGCCAGTGCTATAGGCAGCAGCATAATCTATCACGCCAACTTTCACACCGGACTTGCGCAGCTCGTGTGCATATGCTATGCACACAGTCATGTCCCCTTCTAAATGGGCATAGGCAATCTGGCAGATGATATTTCTGTTAGTTACATGAACTATCATCCTGTATTTGGGTGTGTTGTACTTATTTTTGTCTTGGATCACCAACCATTTCTGAGCATAGTAGTCAGTTTTACCCTCTCACCGCCTTCTAAATCTCACTTGGTATCTCTTAAAGTAGGCCTTATTCTTGACAACATTCACAAACCCCATCCTGCGGAACAGCAACCCACGACCGCGGCTCCACAGACCTGCAGGCCCAGTGGCACTAGGGGGAAAAAGCTCAAAATTCTGAATAGGATTAAGACAAACTGGTACACACATTGACATAATGTGACTTTTGTACTTAACACAAATCCAGAACAATGAAGAATGTGTGCAATATTTGTGAAAGAATAAGGATATAGAAAAAGCCAAGAACAAGAGCAGAAAAATATAGTCAAGGTTTCATCAAAAGACTTAAGGAAACCCAACCAGGAAAAATGTGAACTTGAACAAAGTTAGCTAAGACTATACATCTATAGAAACTACATAAGAACAGACTGCATAACTCACATAAAAATAACTCAAAATGACCCCTAAACTGATATATTTCTGACTCTACAGCTACTACTGATCTCTCTTCCAATCAGAGAGCCCACCTGTTCTAGAGCTCTATGGAAATGAAGGTGATCAGAAAGATTAGCTATGGCTATCCATCGCCTCAGTCCACCTAGTGGTTTCAGGCAAACCCAGTCTGACTGACGCCCACACACAAAACAATGTTGAAGAATAATGTCTGCTTCCTGCAACATGGATTATGGCACAAGATGTGGAATCTGCCTTATCCACCTGCCCAACACCATGGTCACCCAAGGAACCTCTGCAGCTCAGAAATTCCTTTTGTTCCCTGGAATTGAATATCTCTGAAGCATGCCATTGTGGCTGGTGGTAGAGGAAAGTTAAAAGCATTCTAATCAAGAATTTCTGAATGTTGACCCCATTACCTCCCTTCTGCCACTTTCTAAACTATTTATAAAACTTACCACACAAACTGTGAAATGCAATGTTAAGAATTTCTACAAACCGTGTCTTCATTTTCCCAATCTCTATTCCCAGTGCACACCAAAAGCAATGCCAAAGTGTTGACACAGGACAGTGATAATATACACACCCCATCTCCCTAGCCAGGCCTGCAGAGCCTCCCCATTCCTAGGGAATGCACAGAAAGGGAGGGTTAGAGAAGAAGGGCCACTGCCTGGGTCAACACATCCACCAACAGAACCAGACTGTCTCATGGTCTATCCAACTCCCAGATGACAGCTCAGCGAACAAGCTCCTCCTGAGTGGAAGGCCATGTGCATTGCTTATGGTCTCCCTCGCTGCTTCCTATAGTTACATTAGAGGAAAATGCTAGAAAAACCCCACAATCCACCACCAACTGGAGCTCCTGATTGCTAGGCTTGCCAGGAGTCCCTAAACAGACAGTATAGACACCTGGGCCTCGGGACAGTGGGGACTCTCCCACTAGATGAGCAGAGATCAAATGACTAAGGCAGCACAGGCTTTCCCAGCTCTGCCCTTCTACCCTAGTGGCACACAGGCCTCTAGTCCAGGATATCTGTATTGTAGAAGAAATTCTTCCAATCTCTCCAAGCACTTTCTGTTCTTCTCCCAAGATATGGTGTCCCTTGTGTGCATATTCCATTCCACAGTCACTGACTAGTACAGCCAACCCTTTGCTTCATAGATCAGAAGTCCTGCAGCCAAACATAGGTCACATTCAAACGGTAACTGTTCTTAAAGCAAAAAGAGGTCATGAATTAGAAAACAATGAAGTGTCTATGGAAGGCTTAGAGGCAAGAAAGAAATAATGGAAATGATGTAATTATAATCCTCAAAATTTACTTCCAAAAGTTGAAATAGACTTTATGGCCATGTGTGCTCCAACAACTAGGGATTTGTGTTACAGCACACCAAGTATTAGTCACACATTTCTCTCAGGCTGTACATCTTAAACCTGTAAAATAACAGGTCTTTTAGGGGGAGCCACACCATTTTATCCAGGTCTATTTTGCTTGAATTAGTGTAACTACTGTAATTTGGTTTTATGGTAAGCTCAGTGGTTTATCCAGATTTTTGATTCCCTGGCCTGTGGACGCAAGAAATGGCCAGTCAGGACATTTATTGATCATCTAAAGTTGATTACCTCACTTCTTATTTCTAATGTGAGCTAGTCAAAGGAGGAGAGCTTTCATGCTCCTTCTTGCCCATCCCTTTCTTTTCTGTGACTAACCTCCTTTAGAGTTGGTCAGTGAACCCAATTCTTACACAGGTCTCTCCTCATTTACACGTTTGCAGTAAAATCCAGAGAATTTGGAGGACACCAAATAACTGGTCTATTTTTCCATCTGACTCACCAGTTAAGGCTCAGCCTTGAAGTAGTTGTAGGACTATCATTCCAGCATTGGGCAGCAGAAGTAGGATTAGGTATTCAGAGCATGGCTCAACTACATGGGGTGAGGCTAGCCTAAGCTACAGAAAGCAACAGAACTTGAGAAAAATGGACAGGAACTCTTTTTTTGGGGGGGGGAGGGTTCAAGACAGGGTTTCTCTATGTAGGTTTGGCCTTTCCTGGAACTCGCTTTGGAGACCAGGCTGGCCTTGAACTCAGAGATCCGCCTGGCTCTGCCTAACAAGTGCTAGGATTAAAGGCGTGCGCCACCACCGCCCGGTGAGAAACTCTTAATGGCCAGGAAACAATGGGGAATAGGAACAAATAAGAGATAGAACAGTGATACATTTAAAGAAAAGCAAATTTGATTTAAAAAAATAATTAAAAAAAGAAAACAAAAGAAAAGCAAATTTGAAAGTTTTTCTTGAAAGCATTCATTCCTGTAATACTGGAGTTGAGAGAGCTTTTCTTTATCATGAATTGGTTCATGTAAGAGAAAGCAAGCATGGAGGCCCCAAGTCAGAGAAATCAACCTTTTTAGGTTGGTGCTATCATTTGGGAAGATTTAGGAAATGCTGCCGCTCTGGAGGAGATATGTCACAGTGGGTATGTTTTGAGAATTTACACCCATACACCATCTTCAGTTCCCAGTCTTTGCTTCATGTTGCAGGTTAAGGATATGATTTCTTAGCCTCCTTCTTTAGCTGCCATGTCTGACACTTGTCCCCATGCCACTTTCATGGTGGACCTGTAGTCCGCTGGAGCTATAGAAGCCCAATTATATCAATACAGTATATGAATATAACAGAATAGAACATAACACCAATCCATAAAGTTTTACACCTGTATTGTGTACAGCTATGAAAGGAAGGTCTCCTGGATACCTATAGCTGTGAGAACAAAGAAATCCTGACTGGGGTGGGGGAGAAGTCAGGCTATACCTGAAGCTGTATTCCCATGTGGGATGGTCTCCCCACAGGTTGTGGCAATCCTCCTGTCTCTGAGAGAGAGCCATTACAGCTCTGCTCCCCTCCACTCTGTCTGTTACCACTTTGCAATATTCTTCTAATACTTTCCCAGCAGAGGTGTGCATTGCTTCTCTGCTCGGTTCCATTAGGGAGTTTCCCAGCACAGATGATGGTTTCTTCTCAGCGCTAGCCCAAATTGTTACTTCTTGTGCTTCACACAACTAAGGGGATTCTATTGCTTCTCTGCTGGGCTCCACTAGGGACTTTCCCCATAGAGACTATGCTCCATGATGGAGAAAGGTTTTCACACAAAACTCATTCAAGATATTTATTGGGGAGGGGAGAATCCAGGAGAGTGGCTGAAAAAGGGCACCTTCCAACTGAACAGGCACATGGCTACAGGGATTCTTAGGGGTGGAGTTTAACTAAAAAGATTTTCAGGGTGGGAATTGGTCTCATTTCAAACTCTGAGCTTGAATAATCTTAGAGACTGGCTGGATTTCATGCTACTCATGTGTTTTTCTTTGGCTCTGGTTTCAGGACCAAAGTGTGTGTGTCTCAGTGGCTCTGGTTTCAGTGTCACGGACTGTTTCTTTGGCTGGCCCTTTTACCCTACACATAGGGCTTCATAAATTCACAAATTTATTTTTTCCATGAGTTTGCAGGTGCAGACAATATTAAAGTTGACATCATAAATCTTGAACAGATTGTTGACACTGTCAATTTTTTTCTACAGAATACTGTTGTATAACTGAATGTAAGTGTGTTGACTAAACATCTAATAAATACTTTATATTAAGAATTCCCCAGTATTTTTTTTCAGGTCCCCAAATACTATTGTACTATGCAAAGGCTTTAATGGATTAATTGCACACAAAAAGTTTATTTCTGTATAAAATGCAAACTTTACAACACTGACTATATTTATCGGATTTCTTTGCAGTATGGTTTTTTCAAATGTTTTCGAAGACTACTAGCATAGACAAAGTCTTTACCACACTGAATACATTCATAGGGTTTCTCTCCAGTATGTGATCTTCTATGTGCTTGCAGACTTCTCTGTGTAGAGAAGGTTTTACTACATTGATTACATTCATAAGGTTTCTCTCCAGTGTGTGTTCTTTCATGTATTCGGAGTTTATTGTGAAATGCAAAGGCTTTGCCACACTGATTACATTCATAGGGTTTCTCTCCAGTATGTGTTTTTCTATGTCCTTGAAGACTACTACGTAATGCAAAGGCTTTACCACACTGATTACATTCATAGGGTTTCTCTCCAGTATGGGTTCTTCCATGTGCTTGGAGACTACTCTGTGTAGAGAAGGTTTTACCACATTGATTACATTCATATGGTTTCTCTCCAGTATGGGTTCTTGTATGTAATTTGAGAATTTTCTGTGTAGAGAATGCTCTACCACATAGATTACATTCATAGGGTTTCTCTCCAGTATGTGTTCTTTTATGAATTTGAAGACCACCCTGTTGTACAAAGGCTTTACCACATTGATTACATTGATAAGGTTTTTCTCCTGTGTGTGTTTTTATATGCATTTGGAAGTTATTGGGAAATGCAAAGGCTTTACCACAAAGATTACATTCATAAGGTTTCTCTCCAGTATGTGTTCTTTTATGCATTTGAAGATAACCCTGTTGGGTAAAGGCTTTACCACACATATTACATTCATAGGGTCTCTCTCCAGTATGGGTTCTTATATGTAATTGGAGATTTTTCTTTGTAGCTAATGCTTTACCACAGTGATTACAGTTATAGGGTTTCTCTCCAGTATGTGTTCTTTTATGCATTTGAAGATACTCTTTTTGTCCAAAGGCTTTACCACATTGATTACATTCATAGGGTTTCTCTCCAGTATGTGTTTTTTTATGTCTTTGAAGATGACGTTTTTGTCCAAAGGCTTTACAACATTCATTACATTCGTAGGGTTTCTGTCCCGTATGTGTTGTTTTATGTCTTTGAAGACTACTGGAACATACAAAGGCTTTTCCACACTGATTACATTCATAGGGTTTCTCTCCAATATGTGTTCTTCCATGAAAATGACTGTCGTATTCAAAGACTTTAACACATTGAGTATATACAGAAGGTTCCTCTCCAGTATGGTTTCTTTCATGCCTGCAAGGAGAATCAACACATGTAAAAGCTTTAGTACATTCAGTACACGATCTTTACATCTTGCATCTTTACATCTGTATGAACAGAGTTTGCAGTTTGGTACATTTGTAAAGAGGAATCCCATCTTAAGGTTTTATCACAGTGTTTGCACTCATGTTGTTCCTCTTCATGAGTGGTTTTTTTTTTTTGCATCTTTGAAGATACTTGTGATGGTTAGATTATTTTTTACAAGGTTCACATTTACAGAATTATTTTTCTGTATAATTTTTTTTTAATTATTTCCAGAAAACTGGAAAACCTCAGAGCTTTACAATGACTATTCAAATTTTTCTATAAGTATGAGTCATACTACATTTGCTAAGTGAAATAGGACAAAGAGAAGTATTTACACAGTTCTAGTACTCATAGGGCTTTGCTACTGTGTGAGTTTGTTGATGGATTAACAAAGAAGCTGAAAAACCAATTACTTGCATACTTGAATCAAATTTAACAAGTATACTCAACATGGGCAATCCTACACATCTTCTAATTGTTCTGAGAGAGAAGTATGTTATGTCTTTTCTTATCCCTATGCTCATATGTCTTATATCCAGAGTGACATAAGATATACCTAGTAAAAGAGAATAACAAATAAAAACGTTTCCACATTGAATTCACAGTTTGACTTTCTGTTCCTCACAGATATGTGATAGAGTGATTAAGGTTTCTCCACCACAACTCCCCCTTGACACGTGACTCTAACTGCCCCCTCACTAAATTTAGCAGTCACAAAGAGTTTATGCATAATGCTAGCTTTACTATGGATTACGCTTATTAGGGGGTTGATGATATACTTATGACCTCTTCAATGTGTGTAAGTTTTATAATATGGGTAGTATGATATAAATGGATTGGCAGTCTCTCATGGTGCTATGATTCAAATAGTGATATCTGTTGAAACATTGTTTCCTTGTCTTCATTCTTAAAAGACTGCCTTCCAAGTGAAATTCATCTAAAATTGAGGTATATGGTTTTAAGTGAATCTAATAATCATCAATGTACTTTAATCTGTGCTTATGTACACTGTTATTTTTATTTAAAACTTTCAGGACACATTACATTTTCTTCAGAGGCATATTTGTATCAGCTTGCACATGAAAATTACCTTTCATGTCTTCTAGAATTTTGATGGTGTTTTTCAATATTATGGTCTTCCCAACTGTATCCTAAAATATAGTACCAGAAAATGTATGGTATATTATTGAAAATTGGACAAAATTTAACTTAATATCTTCAGTGAACCTTAGAACCATGCCTGAATTATTCACCTCATTCTTCTTCTTTCTCAATAAAACTACAGAAGAGCACAATAACCAAGAAACAGTTATCCCCTTATTTTAAACATGAAGGAAAATTCAGTCTTACCTATAGCAGTGAGGTTACTGTAGGTCTCCAGCATCACATCTTTGTAGAGAGTCTTCTGAGATGGATCCAGCAAAGTCCACTCTTCCCAAGTGAAGTCAACATGCACATCATCATAGGTCACTGTATTCTAAAATATCCCATACATGTGTACAACAGAAAGCATGATATGGACAACATTGTAAGTGTATACATCTTTGACAGTATAGTCATATGATTCTGGTGCTCCCCACACTTATTTCATGATATAGACATTATAATGTAATTTCCAAGTCACTTTAGGTGGCATATCACCTTGCAAGAGAAATGTCTATTAACAAACATAGAGAGACAAGTAAAAAGATCACCAGTACAGAGTACACATGAGAAAAATTGTATGAACAATTACTAACTACATAAAAGAAAAATAAGATGGACAAGCTGAGTGTATTGGCTCATGCCTTTAACCCCATTACTCAAAGGGCAGAAGCAGGTGTATTTGTCTCTGACTTAAATGCCAGCATAGTCTATGCAATCTGTTCCAGGACAGGCAGAAATACATGTTAAGATACTCACTCCCATGCTAAAATCAGTCAAACAAACAAAAAAGATAGAAAGAATTGCCAGGGCCAGGCGGTGGTGGCACATGCCTTTAATCCCAGCACTCGGGAGGCAGAGGAGGCAGATCTCTGTGAGTTCGAGGCCAGCCTGGACTACCAAGTGAGTCCCAGGAAAGGCACAAAGCTACACAGAGAAACCCTGTCTTGAAAAAACCAAAAAAAAAAAAAAAAAAAAAAAAAAAAAACAAGAAAGAATTGCCAGGTGTTGGTGACACATGTCTTTAATCCCAGCACTCAGGAGGCAGAGGCAGGTGGATATCTCTGAGTTTGAGGCCAGCCTGGTCTACAAAGTGAGTTCCAAATAGCCAGGACTATCTCACAGAGAAACCCGGAGTTGAAACAAAGCAAAAAGAAAAAAGAAAGAAAGAAAGAAAGACAGAAAGAAAGAAAGAAAGAAAGAAAGAAGTCAGAGTTTTTTACTCATTTCTTATTAAAGAGTTATGCATTCACTCCAGTTCTGTACTCATCTTCCAGAAACCTGAAGTGCCCCAATTTAAACTCTAACATCATTAAAATTTTACTGAAAGACTCTGCATGTTTAAACTGTTTTTAATGGACAGATGAAAACATTAGCAATATAAATGTTGGTCATAAATAATCAACACAGGGCAGGAGATGGCTCAGTAGTAAGGAGCTCTTGCTGGTCTTGCATATAGGTGGGCTTAATTGCCAGTACTTACACGGGGGAATCACAACTATCTATTACTCCAAGTTCAGGGGTTCTCAGTCCAGCTTTTGATCACTATGAGGACCAGGTAACCATGTGGTGCATAACCATACATACAGGTAAAACACTCATATTCATTTTAAAAAGTATCAAAATAAACACAACAGGCAGGAAGAAGGTCCTGTACCTGAATGACATCCTAGATGTACGTAATAACTCAGAAGGCTCATCCAGTATCGATGTCATGAAAATTTGCCATCCAGGGAAACAGAATGATACCCTCCGCCAAATTTTAAATTCTACATATGGGTGAACTTTGGTACAACAGCATATGTTTGACATGTACAAAAATGAATATTCCAGGCCCATCACCCAAAATTATAAAAACAAAAAACCCAGTAATGTTGATTCACCTTTAATCCTAGCACTAGGGATCTCTGAGTTCGAGGCCAGCCTGTTGATCAGAACTACTTTCAGGACAGCCAGGGCTAGACAGACAAACCTTGTCTTCAAAAAAAAAAAAAAAAGAAAAGAAAAGAAAACATATTAAAACAGCAGTAACCAAACTGACTCAGCACTGAACAGCAATGGCTTCTACTGTATCTTATGTAATTTAGGGGTAGAGACTATTGTGGTGGTAAAGGCATGACAGCACAAGAGGGAAGCAGGCTGATTAGATTCAATCACAACACAGTAGATACAAAGAACAGTCAATGGGTTGACGTTATCTCATCCCCAATGAGAAATTTCATCCAGAAAGGCTCTTCTTACTAAAAGTGTCACAAGCAATCAAAAGAAAATCACCAAGGAGATGCGCATGTTCAAATATATCACCCTATCTGGGAAGTTTTCATTCAACCAACTACTATGTGACCCAGTCACATTAGACAGGGTCTAATGTCACTATAGACTCATAGTCATCCATGAAGGAAAGGCATTTAGTCACTTCAATGATCCTCATAGTCTGCAACAGACCCTGAGTTGTTCAAATGTCCAAAGTCTCTTCTGACAAGACAAACTCTTGACAGTGACACATAAAATCAGAAAGCAAGTTATGTGTTTCCAACAATTACACAAAATACCATTCACATTCCAAAAGATAAATGGAGACCTACTGAGTGAAGATTGGACCAAGACAAGAATGAAGCACAGCAGAACAAACATCAAATCCTGTAGTTCTGTCTCAGATACATGGAACTTCAGGTTCAAAGGGCTTGGATGGCCCTATCCCTGCAACTTCTCATACATCTCTTTCTCTTTGGTTACTTCTATTCACTATATGCAGATAGGTCTCCATGGAAGATGTCTCATAGCTTAGATATCTCAATGTCTTGTGATCTCAAAATGAAACGCAGGCTGTTGTGGAATATTGTGCTAAGATGTGTTGTATTTGTTTATACTGGGGAACATTTGTTTTAATGATGCAAAGATGTGTTGCATTCTTTTATGTTGTGTTTGTTTAACTATGTGAAGCTGTGATACTTTGCCTGTCTAAAATATTTGACTGGTCTAATAAAGAGCTGAATGGCCAGTAGCTTGGCAGGAAAGAATAGGCTGGGCTGGCAAGCAGAGAGAATAAATGGGAAGAGAAATCTGGGAGGAAAAAGGAAGGAGGAGCAAGAAAAGAAGAGGACCCTAGGTGTCAGCCACCTAGCCACTCAGCAAGCCAGGCAGTAAGAAGTAAAGAAAGGTATACAGACTAGAGAAAGCCCAGAGGCAAAAGGTAGATGGGATAATTTAAATTAAGCAAAACTGGCTAGAAATAAGCCATGCTAAGACCAGGCATTTATAAAAAAAGAATAAGCCTCCATCTGAGTAATTAATTTGAGAGCTAGGTGGCAGACCCACAAAAGAGTAAAAAAACAAAACAAAAACAAAAAACCAACACCAGGTTCATCCTCACAGCTTCATGCAATGACCTCTCAAAGTCTCTTAACTAGGTTTCTAACTCTGCTAAACATTGATGCCTGCAACAATGCTGAACTGTAACCTGTAACAGGAAGACTAAGAATCCATGACCTTAATTTTTGATTCTTCTTGTTTCTAGGACCAGCACAAGATAAGTGATTCTGCAAAATTTGACTTCTTAATTGGGATGGACACTAACACACTTGGACCAGAGGTGCAGCAGGTTTTGTATGAAGTTGCTTCCTGGGACTAGAAATCACTTTGTTTACTCCTTCCATAATTAAAGGTTTAGCTGGATGTGGTCTTATCCTTAGGGTACCTTACTAGGACTCCATTCCAGAGCAAGGGCCTTCTTTCTTCTTCTTCTTCTTTTTTTTTTTAAAGATTTGTTTATTTATTATGTATACAGTGTTCTGTCTGCATGTATCCCTGCAGGCCAGAAGAGGTCACCTGATCCATTACAGATGGTTGTGAGCCACCATGTGGTTGCTGAAAATTGAACTCAGGACCTCTGGGAGAGCAGTCAGTGCTCTTAACTGCTGAGCCATCTCTCCAGCTCCTAAAGACATTTTGTTTTGTTTTTGTTTTTCAAGACAGGGTTTCTCTGTGTAGCTTTGTGCCTTTCCTGGAACTCACTTTGGAGACCAGGCTGGCCTCGAACTCACAGAGATCAGCCTGCCTCTGCCTCCCGAGTACTGGGATTAAAGGTGTGTGCCACCACCGCCCAGCAAGGGCCTTCTTTATAATGGTGATAAACTCCTGAAAATTCCTGCCTGTTTCAGCACTTGACTGCTATCTGAAACTACCTTTTCATTTTCATTTATTTTCTGCCCAACATGTTGGCTTTTTATTTATTTATTTTTTATTTTTTTAACTGTAGGCCTCAATGAGTCACCAGTAATAACCAAGCAACCAAGATTCAATGTTCCATTTTAGAAATTATCATGGGCTGGAGAGATAGCTCAGAGGTTAAGAGTACTGGCTGCTCTTCCAGAGGTCCTGAGTTCAACTCCTTGCAACCGCATGGTGGCTCATACACACTGGTAATGAGATCTGGTGCCCTCTTCTGTCCTGCAGGCATACATGCAAACAGAACATGGTATATATGATAAATAAATAAATCTTTAAAAAAAGAAATTATCACATTATTTTTTAATTCTGTCATACTTAATTTCTAGGGCATCGGCAGAATAAGAAAGATATTGGAGCCAAAATACCACACCAATGATGTCTACTTTAATTTTTCATTGAGTCTATTTCTGACTGAAATCCAGTTATCTCAACCTCCACTTTCTGACATTACTCTCAACATTCCCATCTTCCTGGTCCTACAAGAACAGACAATTAAGTTCTGTGTGCAACTTTCTATGGCTTTTGCTACCTAAAGTCCTGATATCTTCCACATTCCTCCAAAGGACAACATCCCAGGTTCTACCTAACAACAACATCGTGTTTCTTGTAACTTTTTTTTTTTTATTCTAACATGCTTGTATGCTGCTGGGATTATATCTTCTAACAAAAAGCATCTCAGGCAATAAATGAGTTTATTTGGCTGATTCTGTCAGATCACACACCACCATTTTGGGAGCTTAGGATAGAAACTCAAGCTAACAATTGAAGGCAAAACCCATGGGCAAAGATTGTTTCCTGGCTTTTTCTCTTGCCCAGTTACTGTCTCATGATCAGATAGCTCCCCTAAACCTAGGCCCACTTTCTTAGGGATAATTCCTCCCTCAGTGGAGGAGCCTTCCCACATCAATCATTAATCAGCACAGACTCTCACAGACACAGCACTTTCTGGCTATTATGAATAATCCACTATGGAAATAGTTGAGCAAGTGTCCTTGTGGTAGGATGGAGGAGCATCATTTAGGGACATGCCCAAGAGGGCTATAGCTAGCTCTTAAGGGAGATTGACTTCCAATTTTCTGAGGATTGCATATTGATTTCCACACC